ATAGGTTCATCAGTACTGTTCTTCTCGATTTCATGTATATGCATTCGTCTGCAGTATTAGTCCTCCTCTTCCTGACGTCACTCTGTATAACAGGCCCTCGGTCCGTCCGCTCACTGCAACTGACCCACGTTCGTTCCTTGGAAAAGGTCTCAATGAGCAATAACCACAGCTCGGACAAACCTCACTGGCTGTGATGGTGCCGGCCGCAGTGCAGAGCGCACCTGGTTTCTTTTTCTGGCCTTTTTTCTTTTCGCTGTTGCCATCTAGGCTGCTGCTCCGTCAAGTCCCCCCGTGGGCCCTGGGCCCGTCTCGGGAGAGCCCCGGGCCGTGTCCTTGCACTGCCGCAGCCCTGCAGAGGTGTGCACCGCCGAGTGTGCTCCGGCCTTTGTTCCCGCGGGTGGGACAGCCCCGGTTCCTCTAGCCCATCTTTGGAGACCTCCCCCTTCGCCCTCCGGTGGCCCGGGCCTGAGGGAGGCGTCAGAGATCCGATCCCTGCTCGGCTTTCTCTCATTCTCTGGAGAGACAGCACAGCCAGACTAACTGGTGGCCCATCAGAAGCTGTTGTCTGGCTGACTCCCCTTCGAGGAAGGGAGGAAATGTGGGGCTAGTTAGGATTCTGCCATCTTAACCATCCTGATCAATTTCCCGCCAAGACGTTGCTTGCTGTGTCATGGCCAGGATTTTTTTTTTCTCTTTAAATTTTCATGTAAAGTAGAGTCACTTTAGTTTGTCCTCTTGTATTTGTTTCCTGAACTTTACAAAAATAGGTCAAGTGTATAGCATGGCCCACTGTGAAGATTAAAGATCTTTGACATTCTGCAATAAATTAGTCAGAGAAAACACGCTGAAATTTTAGGATTATTATTGAGTCTAAGAGTTTTGGACTGAAAGCTAAGCTAGAAGCTATCTTGAATGCTGTTAATGGTCACTTTGATGTGATGTTGCCACTTTCTTCTTATGACCCAATTCATTCTTTACATGATAGAAGAAGATTGAAATTTTTAAAAATGATTTTGTGAGGTGAATTTTACAGGATGAAGTAAAGCTGCCAAGTCCAGCTCAGCTCTGTATGTAGTTTAGCACGTAACATCGAGCGGGCCACTAAGCTCTCTGCCTCAGTTTCCTTATCTGCCGAGTAAGAGCCTGGCCTCAGCAAACTGAGATCCTCTCAGCATCTTAGACTCTGAGCAGTGGTTCTGGACCTTCTTTCCCAGGGAAACTAACACACACAGGACATGTTCTGTTCGCAGGAGCTGTTTCCTGTGTGTGCATCTCTGGGGCAGCGGCTGCTTTTTGCTTCAAGGCGGCAGCATAGATAAAACAGGATGCAGGTCAGGCACCACTGCCGCTTCTGATCCCCCCTCCGTCTCCTCGGTGAGCACAACTTTTGCATCAAGAACCACAGCTCTCCCGAAATGCACATTTGTGGAACATGTGCATTGAAAGATTTAAGTGCAAAATGCATCAGTTTTTGAAAAACATTAATTCTGTTCATCAGCTATGGGTGTAATTATATCTTCTCCTGCTTACATTCTTTCTCTCGGCTTACTGAGTTCTACCACAATGAAAAACCAACCCCTTGGCAAACCTCCCCCTCCAGAGGAGTCTTAAAAAGGCAGAGCTCCCCACTTGCTGGCCAGCCTGATCACTCTGAAAGGCTGGTCCCCTATTTGTCCCATCTCTGTCCTTGTGGGAGGCCCAGAAAGGTCTGCAGTGACAAAGTTTGCCCCCCGGGGCTAACTGTATGGCGGCTTCTTGGAGTTGAAAAGGAGAGCTGTTTGGTCTCCTAAAACAAAGAGAAATAAATGACTGCTCAAATAACAAAGTCTAGGTTATCACCTCAAAGGCCCCCTTGATGGCCGTGATATATCCATGCAGGTGCCAGGCTGGGCAACCCCACGTGCCTGTCTGTCTGCATGACCACCGTTCTCTTAAAGCAGCTCTATTCATCCAGCCTCGTAAAGAGAGCAGCTCCCCACCTCCCTGCCAGGAGCAAGGCTGTTAGATCAATTAGCAGTGCCTCTGCCACCCAGATACTTCCACCTCCTTCTGCAAGCAGGCTTCTCCCAGACGAATCATACTGAAATGGCCCCTGCTAGCGTCCGTGTGAATCCCAAGCAGCGAGGACGACAGGCTGTCCGGCCCCACCGTCGACTGCAGTGCAGCGTATGGCGGTGTCGGTGCTCGGAGCGGCCTGCAGCGACCACGGCTGAATGAGCACGTTCGAGCGATGCTCCGCTCAGCACGGCCCGCCGGACACTTTCTCTGGGCTGGCACCCAGCGGGCACCTCTCAGGAGGCCTTCACAGCTCAGGCCGAGAGACCTTCAGAAGGGGACTTGAGTTGACCAGGCTTTATGTTTAAGTGTGACTCAGATATCTGTCATCTGGTCTTCCCTGTCCCTTGAGATATAAATAAGCTTTGCTTCAAATTGCACAGTCTGGAAATCTGAATTCTGTGACTTCCTGGGGGCTTGGGGTCTCTGTCTCAGCTCTTGCTTCTGTGTCTGGGACCTTAGTCTGAAACTTTCAGGGTGCTTATGGAAAGGCATGTATGAGCGTGGGAGGCCTCCCAGAAAACTGGTATCATCAAGACTCCCATTTCATATCCCATAACGGTATAATTAACAGCCCACGTGAGACTTGCCTGTTCTCTTAAGCTTAGCTTCTCAGGGTGTAGTCGGAGGCCCGACAGTACCTGTATGACCTGGGTGCTTGATAGAAATACAATATCTTGAGCTCTATCCCCGGCCTGGCAAGTCAGCATCTAGGTTTTACCAAGATCCCAGGAGATTGCATTCCTTAAAGCGTGTGAATCATGGATCTAAAGTCCTTGTCTGTCCCCTCACCCTGGCGGATTCTCTGTCCCACCCTTGCTCCATGCGGTACCCAGTCTTTCACCTCCTCTTTCTTCCCGCTCCGTTCTCTCTCTTGTTCTTTCATCTCTTCCCTCCCTGTCAGGAACTGCAAATAAATTCTTTGTTTCCTGACAGAGCAGGCCTCTTCTCTGGAGCCTCACCGTCAGTCATCACCTAGGCCATGAGGGTCTTACCTTCTACCAGCCCTCAATCCTGTCCTCAAGCTTATTAAAGTCTTTGTCTAAACAAGGCCCCCAACTGAGAGGGATCCTGATACCAGATACTCTGATAAAAGAAAGTTCTCCATCTCATTATAAAACATAGCCCTGATTTTATGAAGACATTCTGAAAGTAAAAGTAAAAAACTGCTGGTCACTCAGTCGTGTCTGGCTGTTTGTGACCCCATGGACTGCAACCTGCCAGGCTCCTCTGTCCATGGCATTCTCCAGGAAAGAATACTGGAGTGGGCACCCATTTCCTTCTCCAAGGGATCTTTTCGACCCAGGGATCAAATCTTGGCCTCCTGCTTTGCAGGCAGATTCTTTACCATTTGAGCCACTGGGGCTTTCACAAGACATCCAGACAGACTCTTAAATCAGTTCAGGGTTATCAGCTGTCATAGAAGCGCCTCTCAGGTGGCAGTAGTGGGAAAGAACCCACCTGCCCGTGCAGGAGATGCAAGAGACTTAGGCTCCATCCCTGGCTCGGGAAGATCCCCTGGGGCAGGCAGTGACAACCCACTCCAGTATTCTTGCCTGGAAAATTCCATGACAGAGGAGTCTGGCGGGCTACAGTCCATGGGGTTGCAAGAGAGTCAGACACAACTGCGCGCACGCACACACACATGCACACAGAGCTATCACACAAGCCTTAGCCCTGGAGAAGCTGAGTCTTCGACAGGAAAGTGACTTGTTCAAGGCCTTTTTGCATGATTTTTTCGTGTCATCATTACAGTTGCCAGTGGTCTTTTTAACGAAGAGAGAAGATTAAAGGCTTTTGTGCTGATCACCATCAGTTGCATTCCGATGTACTTTCTGGAACATGAGCAGAGACTGCAGGCACAGCTCCGGGGTCACGAGCTTGGGGACACACACCGTGGGGTCCTGTTGTGTCTCACCAGTTTCATGTCACGTGTGTCCCAGCTGGGCACAGGTTGACCTGTAAGGTTCTTTCCAGCTCCATTACCCTTTCAGATACAAAAGTCAGGAATCTGTGAAATTGTGCGCTACCAAATCCCCCCTGTGTTGTGGTAGCTCCTTTTAAAAATCAATCACTCAGGAATACTTGAATAGGTAACGCTCTGGATTTTCCCTCCTTGCCCTTGGTTTTGTTCCCAGGAAGCGAGAAGAAGAACACAGGCGCCGAGAGGCGGAGCAGCAGAAAGGGGGGCTGAGCGCAGATTCCTGCAGGCCCCACGCCGCCCTCTGCCTGCCCAGCACCCGAGCCGAGCCCCACGGACAGAGCCGGGCCCCCAGCAGACAGCCCCCCTGCAGCGACGAGGCCCAAGGCCCTGAGCGGAGAGCCTGCAGACGGTCTCCAGGTAGAGGGTCTCCAAGCAGAGCCCCCCAGAAGGAGCCGCAGCTCTGCCCGGACTTGCAGAGAACAGAACCCAGAAAACCAAATGGTAAGTGTATTGCCTCGCGATTCAGTGCTAACCCATGGACTGTGGGCTCTTTAGTTTCATAATATTTAGACCACTTACATTTAAGGTAATTATGTCAGCACTTAAGTCTGCCACTGTATCATTTATTTTCTGTTTATTTCTTGTTTCTCTTTTCTTCCCTCCCTGTTGTATTTCCTCAAATTCTTTCTTAGCTTGGGATGGGTATATAGCAGTCCCTTTACCCATGGTAATTAAAAGTGCCTCTTATTTTTAGCTCTCAGAGTGAATGCTCCTTCCTCTGACACTCGCGCTTTCCCACCAGATGAAGCTTTTTTCCTTCTATACGCTCCCGCAGCTTTCCTGTGCATCCTATTGTAAAGACCGTCACCTTGCACTCTTAGTGGATTACTGGCTTACTTGTCTGTTTTTTCCACTAGACTGTACAACCTGTAAAATCAGGATTGCTTCAGTTATCTAATGCTTTGTAACAGACTACCCTAAACTCAGTGATTTACAAGAACAGTTTCCTATTTCCCGTGATTCTGTGGGGGTCTCGCAGTTCTCTTCAGGCATCATCTACACTCACTCATGTGGCTACATTCAGGTCGAGGTCAGTTGAATTGGTTGGTCTAAGATGGACTGACTTGAATATCTGGCAGTTGATGATGGTTGTCCGCTGGGATTCCTTGACTCTCTTACATGGCGTTTCATCCTCCCATCGGCTAGACTGGCTTCCTTACACAGGTCTTGGACATCGTTCTAACAAAACACAGGAAAAAGCTATAAGACTTCTTGAAGAGTAGGCTCAAGAATGTGCACACCACATTTTATTGATCAAGGCAAGTTGTATGACCTTCCCAGACTAAATAATATAAAGAAATAGAATCCATCTTTGCATACTAAGATGAGAGTAACTTTTGGCTATTAAACAACCTATCACAGTTCCTTTTTGGTCACAGATTATTTACATTTCTCCCACATGTAAAATGTTTCACCCCTTATCTTAGGACCCAAAAATCTCATCCCAGTTAACACATCAAGTTTGAAGTCTGGGATCTTGAGACCCGTGTGAGATTCCCCATGCGTGAGTCTTTCTGATTCAGAGGAGCAGCCAACAAGAACACACACTGGCCCACACGTGCGTCCAGCAAGCAACGGTGAGGTCGGAACAGAATCCCAGGGGGCTCAGTGGTAAAGAATCCACGTACTAGTGCAGGAGATTTGCACTTGACCCCTGGGTCGGGAAGATCCCCTGGAGAAGGAAATGGCAACCCACTCCAGTGTTCTGGCCTGGGGAATTTCATGGACTGAGGAGCCTGGTGGGCTACAGTCCACGGGGTCACAGAGTCGGACACGACTGAGCAACTGTGGATTTACACAGGCCACAACAGACACTCCTGCTCCAGAAGAGGAGAGACTGGTCCACAGCAATTCTGAAAGCTAACTGGTCATACATTAGCAGGCCCCTACTCCGAGGTATGAAACATGCCTTGATTAAGGCCTGGTTTTACTCCTCTGTGTGTTTTCCATGCCATGTCCGTCTTGGCTCTGGGCTGCGCCGCCTGGGTTCTTGGCCGCGCTGAGAAGTCTTCCTTTTCAGTGAGACGTGGCCCATGTTTGCAGCTGAGTAGCTTTCTTAGCCTGTTTGCAGTGTAAGGGAAATTGCGGCCCCAGGGGCTCCTTTGTGTTGAAATCGCCTCCATCAGGTCAAGCTGGCGGTACTCTCAGTGATACAATTATTTCAAAAAATTCATGGGTCTCGTGTGAATCTGATTGAGTTCACTTCATGTTCCAAAACCACATCAATGATTATTTTTCAAGTAGACCTTTCTCTACTTCTGTCTTCCAGGTTACTGCAGGTGACAGTTTTGCCAATTATCATGCCACTGAACTGCATGGGTCACTTTTTTCCAGACTCCTGTAGCAACTCCTAGAGCAACTTCCTATAGCACTTCTCTAGTCTTCACTAATAGTTTCTTCATTGTCTTTCTAACCTCTGCTCACCAGCCAGTCCAAAAGTCAGTGCTTTGGGTTTTTGCTAGGCCAGCAAGCCTCTTTCTTAGGTATCAGTTTCTGTGTTGATTATCTCTAGTGGCGTAACAGCCCACCCTCCAAACTCGGTGGCTGAAAACAGTGCTGTATTATTTCTCACAGTTCTGTGGGTTGGTTAGGCAGCCCCTCTACTGGATCAGCTGGGCTTGCTTTTGTAGCTGCTAGAAGGGTGGTCAGGCTGGAAAATCCCGATGTCTTCCTTCGCGTTTCTGACAGTTGGTGCTGGCTGTTCGCGATTGGCGTCTCAGTTCTCTTCTATAAGCCCTTTCATCCTCCAGTAAGTTAGATCATCTTACTTGCATACTATTCTCAGGGCACTGTCCTGAAAAAGGAAAGCAGAAACTACAAGCCCTTTTGAGGCCTGGGCTCCAGAACTATCACATCCCTTCTACCACATTCTGTGGATTAGAGCAATTCACAAGGCCAGCCCAGTTCAAGAGAGTGGAGACATAGACATATTGCAAAATCACATTTGAAAGTTGAGTGGATCCTTGGATGGGAAGAATTCTTGGCCATTAAACAGTCTATCATAAGGACCACTATGTCTCTCACTTCTGGATCCCAGCAGGGTGTTGGGCACATAAGAGATATAATAAGCATTTGTTGAATATATATCTGTATAGTACTGGCTAAGTGCTTGAGATTCAGGGGGTAAGACTGGTGGGAGTATCAGTGGAACATGCACGGTGGCTAAGGCAGCAAGCTGTTTGTTTACCTCTTTCCTTACCCCAGGTATGTGTATGCAGTTTTTTACTATGTCATCATTTAGATATCCCCAAGGTATCTCAAACTCAACCTGTGCAAGGTAGAATTGATCGTGATTTCATGTAAACCTGTTCCTGATATTGGTCAATGACATATTCATCCATCAGTATGTCCATCCCAGGAGTAAAATCTGATCATTATCTTCTTTTCGTTTACCACTCAAAATCCAGTCTGTCACCGAGTCTGGTCACCTTTACTTCCGAAATATCTTCCAGATCCGTTCTCCATCTCATCTGCTGCCACCGACAGTCGACCTAACGTTTGTTTACCTTCATCTCTGTCCTGGGCTATTGCAGTGTTGCCCAGCTGGTCTTCCTTATCTACTCTGATTCTTCTAAACCATGTTCTTCTCAATGTGTGAGCGTATCAGTGCCTTCAAAGGTGAAAGCTCATCAGATTGCTTCCCTATCCAAAGCCTTGTAATCTACACTTCTCTGGTTCAGCGCAACCTGGTTCCTTTTGTTGGAGATGGTGATAGAAACCAAGATCTGAATGCTAGGTGTGTATACCACTATTGGACGGTCATTGCTCCCGAGCCCTTTCAACAGAGAGAACTGAGAAATATTTGTATCTATTTGGCATCTGTTTGTGTATGTGTATCACACACACACTGTTTTCATACCAATACCTCCAGTTGCATTTGACACCACAGATTTTATACTAGCTTTTATCTTTTTTATTTGAAATTTTTTTCTCCGACAGATCTGGCTTCAACTATCTGTGATATATATGCTTATTTGTTTAATCCCATTATACACATAAAGTAGTTTTAGGATTGCCATCCCATACGCCTTTGAGAAAGAAATTTACTAAATAGAGCTCAGTATTTCATATATTCCTTAGTCTTACAGTGCTCAGCCAAAGCATGATTTTACAAAGTTACTTTGGTAAGTTCCCTTCTCCACGTTTTAGTGTGGTTACCTCATCTATTTGTAATAGTGTTAGGTTTATTTGTTATTACTTTTATTCCATCTTGGATTCTTTCCCACATCCTAGCTGATTCTAATTGCTGGGTTTTGGGGTTTTTTTTTTTTGGTAGTGGGGTACTTTTTATTTAAACAGAAAATGACATTTTCTCATAATTGTAAAATTAGTTACTGTATGTTACCAAAAAATTTAAATCAGAGAAAAGAAGAAGAACAAATAAAAATCCTAAGAATAAACAAAAATCTTTTTTAAAAATCTTAAAAGTAAACAATTATACAAACGCTTCTGATTTTTTTTAAAATCAGAAAATTGTGGAGATCCTGTTTTGAGGTATTCTTAACATCATTTCTTTGTTTTCACCAAAAGTGTTAATCAGTTCAGTTCAGTTGCTCAGTCATGTCCAACTCTTTGCGACCCCACGAACCGCAGCACACCAGGCTTCCCTGTCCATCACCAACTCCCGGAGTTGACTCAGACTCATGTCCATCGAGTCAGTGATGCCATCCAGCCATCTCATCCTCTGTCGTCCCCTCCTCCTCCTGCCCCCCAAGCCCTCCCAGCATCAGGGTCTTTCCCAATGAGTCAGCTCTTCGCATGAGGTAGCCACAGTATTGGAGTTTCAGCTTCAGCATCAGTCCTTCCAATGAACACCCAGGACTGATCTCCTTTAGGATGGACTGG